TCAGCGGGTATCAATTAACACCTCATTGATAATGGACTGGAGAATTGATAAGGGATTATGATCCCTTACTGCCCTGTAACATGTAAAGGGATTTCTTGTTTTCAAAACGCCGTTACAAAAAAATAAATTATTAAATATGAAAAACAAAATGCAATACCATTTCATTTACAATTATGTCATAAAATTTGAATTAAAATGTTCACATAATCTAATTTGTATATTAAGAGGTAATATGCATGGTTATATAACAAAGGAAAAAAACTTATGGAAATGTATAAAGTGGTCTGTCAAAACATTTCTTACATTTTTGTTGTTTTTATAAAGTTTTAAAGTGACATAATTTTTCCTCAGTATTTCTAAATGATTTTTATTAATTTATTGTAATTGATTAAATTAAAGTGAAAGAACTTGTTTAAATGATCTTTACACAAACATTTCTTATAAATACTTTAAAAATCTGGAAACAAAGTGATCCCTCGGAAGCATTAATCACAACATTATTACGTAAGAATTGCAGACTCGGTTTGATTGAGTCTGTTCATGAGGGATACCGCCCGATTCTGCTGGTTTTTTTCTATTAATTTTACTTAATTATTTTGACTTCCTTTTTAAGATATTATGATGATTTTTTTATATATTGTTATTTAACATATTGTCAAATAAAACAATAATAAAAAATAATAATATAACCATTTGGTGATGATACTTACAAAACAAAATTAAGGTATTTTTTGACAAAATGACTGCACAACCCGATTTTGCTTCTTTTTTTCTCCATTTATTTTACTTAATTATACTGACGTCATTTTTTAAGAAATCATATCAATGTTTTTTATATTGTTCATTAGAATTTTGATGAATAGTACGTACAATCAAATAGAACAATAATTCTGTAAACCGTTTGGTCAGCATAACTTCAACATTTTGACAAAATTGACCGCGTCACATGATTTTGCTGTTTTTTTTCTCTTCTTTTATGAACTCCTATGACACACATGTACATGTATGATACATAGACATCAGTGTCGCGAGTTCGATCCTTGGGTGGGCAATGTTCTCCATGAAGATGATAAGTCATTTAGTCTGACATCATTTGTACTCCACCTCTGATCCATGTGGGGAAGTTGGCAGTCACAAATCTTGTTCGGTTCCGTAAGCTAAATATCAGTATCCTAGGGGAAATCTTGTTCCGTTCCGTTCCGCTAAATATCATTATCCTAGGGGATATTTATACTTTGCGGAACGAAACGGAATCACAATTTATAGAGTTGAAGACAAGGATTGTACACAATGCTGACTGTAATAGTGATATTTCAGCTTTATTAGTGCATGTACATTCAAATTATATGGCAAACATGTTTTTGAATTTAATTTGTTTACGATAATAATATAGTTTCCAAAACGCACACTGAGGTCTGTAGGTAAGAGCGTCGGTCTTCGGATAGCAGAGTCGCAAGTTCGATCCGGGAAGTTGGCAGTTACTTGCGGAGAACAGGTAAGTACGAGTACAGAATCCAGGAACACCGTTTAGGTTAACTGCCCATCGTTCCATGACTGAAATACTGTTGAAAACGGTGTTATAGTTTCGACATTTCTGTATTTTATTTATATGTTGTGATTTTTAAAAGTGACGAGTCTTCATTAGCAGGATAGGGAGCCTGCGATTTTGTTTATGCATCATGAATGCTTATTTATATGTGAAGTTTATACAAGCATTATAAAGGAGGAAATGGATATTGAATAACAAATATTGTTCCGTTCCGTTCCACTAAATATCATTATCCTAGGGGATATTTATACTTTGCGGAACGAAACGGAATCACAATAAATAGAGTTGAAGACATAGTGTGTACACAATGCTGACATTAATAGTGACATTTCAGCTTTATTAGTGCATGCACATTCAAATTATATGGCAAACATGTTTTCAAATTCTTTACGATAATTATATAAGTTTCCAACCCGTCCGCTTAGATCAATAGGTAGGGGCGTCGGTGTCTAAGTTCGATCCTTGGGCGGGCAATGTTCTCCGTGCCGATTTGATAAGACATTTAGTCTGACATCATTCGTCCTCCACCTCTGATTCATGTGGGAAAGTTGGCAGCTACAAATCTTGTTCCGTTCCGTTCCGCTAAATATCATTATCCTAGGGGATATTTATACTTTGCGGAACGAAACGGAATCACAATAAATAAGAGTTGAAGACAAGGTTTGTACACAACTCTGACTGTAATAGTGATATTTCAGCTTTATTAGTGCACTTAATTTCAAATTAGATATATATACATGTTCTCAAATTTAATTTGTGTACGATAATTAGATAGTTTCCACATTTCTGTATTTGATTTATATGTTGTCATTTCTAAAAACAAAGTGACGAGTCTTCATTAGCAGGATAGGTAGCCTGCTATTTCGTTTATGCATCATGAATGAATATTTATAAGTGAAGTTTATACCAGCAGGAGGAAATTAGTCATAAATAACAATTATTAAATCTTGTTCCGTTCCGTTCCGCTAAATATCATTATCCTAGGGGATATTTATACTTTGCGGAACGAAACGGAATCACAATAAATAAGAGTTGAAGACAAGGTTTGTACACAACTCTGACTGTAATAGTGATATTTCAGCTTTATTAGTGCATGTAATTTCAATTTATATATGACAAGCATGTTTTCAAATTTAATTTGTGTACGATAATTAGATAGTTTCCACATTTCTGTATTTTATTTATATGTTGTGATTTCTAAAAACAAAGTGACGAGTCTTCATTAGCAGGATAGGTAGCCTGCTATTTCGTTTATGCATCATGAATGATTATTTATATGTGATGTTTATACCAGCATTATAAAGGAGGAAATGGATATTGAATAACAAATCTTGTTCCGTTCCGTTCCGCTAAATATCATTATGCTAGGGGATATTTATACTTTGCGGAACGAAACGGAATCACAATAAATAGAGTAGAAGACATGGTTTGTACACAATGCTGACTGTAATAGTAATATTTCAGCTTTATTAGTGCATGTAATATCAATTTATATATGACAAGCATGTTTTCAAATTTAAATTGTTTACGATGATTATTAATATTTTAATACGAAATGAGTGTACTGGATATGACGGCCATTGGACACATATTAAAGAGGTCTTGATATCGCCAAAAAATATTTAGATTGTCCACTCATTTTTTTTCATTCGTCAGTTTATGTAAATAATAAATATTAAATTTCTGCAACAAGTGTAAAACATTTAAATATATAAATTTTATGGCGATAGGATTTCCTATATTGAATAAGTCAAGAACATAGTTTTTTAAAACAGGTTGCATGTAATAAATTCATGTACCTGTAATATACCAGGATGAAAAAATAAATCTTGTTCCGTTCCGTTCCGTAGAATATCATTATTCTATGGGATATTTATACTTTGCGGAACAAAACGGAACAACTGTTTGCAGTCCCGAAGATTTTATATAAATAATGTCCATTTAGAAGTGGGTATTCAGATGGTTCAGTTCGAAAAAGCCCTAGATCGACTGTTCGCTAGGCAGTTTCAATATCTTATTATTTTCATTTAATATATTTACATATGAGTAAAAAATTGATGTACCCCGTGTGGTGCCTCTATGTTTGTTCCGTTCCGTTTCGTTCCGTTCCGCAAAGTATAAATAGCCAAAAATAAGCCTACCACCTTGTACAAATAAATGTATTTTACTGGGAGTTAATTTTTAATTTTGTAAAATATACTTTAAACAATTCAAGACCACTAGAATTATGTTACTATCATACTCCATATTAAAATGTAATATCTGTTGTGTATTATATATATATAAGCAAAAAAATTATCCTTATTTTACAAGAAAGTTAGTGTGAATTGTACAAAAAACAAGAAAATGTTCAATAAATATTTATCAGCTGTTTAACATTTGATCTGGATCTTTTAGCTGCTTGTATAAAGTATATAGATGCTGTAATCCCATAGAGATTAAATATTAAAATATTTCCGGATTTAACCCTTAACCTGCTGGAAACAGAAGTGAAAAGCATTTGCCACCAGTGTAAAGCCAGGCAAGCCTGTACATCCGTGTAGTCTGACTCTATACTATGTATTAATAGCCCAATTTTTGGTTTTGATATTGAAATCCTGTATTATAAATTTAGTGGACTGATCAAATTTCAACGAAGGGTAAATTAACTGCACAATGACTGCACAAATTAATCCGATCAAGGGTTAAATCAGGGCAAGTTCAGTTAAGGGTTAAATCAGGGAAAGTTCAAAACAGAGTAGCATGGTGACAGCCAAAACAACATGCTATATGCTGTAGTTTTATATAATAGGGGTACTTATTATTAAAATCATATCTTATATACTTGATACAATACTTGTTATATATTTATGTCACATAATTAAGTTTATGATACAAAAACATGTCTGGTAAATAACAAACTAAACTTCCTTCCATATCATCCATGGTAAATATCTATGGAAACATACTATGTCTCCTTAGAATTCTTTACCTTCACCACATAAATAATATTGTAAGTTTGAAGTAAATAAGTTATCATTTATTTACGGCAATGTAACCTGTCAAGAATCTTTACAAGGACTTTATAAAACAAAAAATTACTTCATTACTTGACAGCAGTTGTATATATAGTTTATATAAAAGTCGTGATTAACCATTGAAATCTTGCATTTTTATAAAAAGAAATATTTTTTTAATTAATATGGTCATAACATCATATGTATTGTTAGTAATTTGTATCAGGGACCAATATGAAGATTATAATCTGCCATATTACCCATTGAAAACATGCATTTTTCTAAAAAGAACTACATGGATAATATGGCCATATATTATGTATTGTCAGTTACTTGCATCAGGGACCAATATGAAGATATGATCTGCCATATTTTACTGTCTTTTATCATTCATAAAAAGGTCAATTTCAAGTTGTTTTTTTTTTTCTTCTTTTTTTTTCCTTTTTCTTTTGGGGGGGGGGGGGGGGGATTTCTGAAACACTAGTGTAGCACCATTACTCTGCATTTGATTTTTTATTCTCTAATTGGTTTATAATTTAAATTATTAATTTAGCACCATCGCCCGTTTTCGGACAGAATTAAAAGTCTAGAAAAATTTAAGCTAAAGTTAATGGTTAGCTATTCTACCTAGTTTTTTTTAATTTAAAAAAATGTTTACTAGTCTTAATTTTCTTAATAAGTACAATGTCAGCTTTTAAAAGAATAGAGGAAAATTGAAGAAAAAATGGATTGGAACATTTGTCTCTTTTTTCAACAATGAAATACAAAAATACACTGCATTATCAGTAAACATAAAAAAAACCCCAAAATCTAATTTGTTATGTTATTGAAAAATCAGACAAAGTCATATTTTTATACATTTAGAAAATATCATATTACAGGGTTTAAAATATCCCCCACCCCAATCCAAAAATAATTTTTCTTCAAAATCAAAAAAAAATGATGTAAGTAGTAAATTTATCCCATCAGTCAGGCTTTTATATGCTTTGTAAAAGTAATAAAAATGTAACTGAAAATCACAAATACATGTAAAGTTTTCTATATTAAAATCTGGATTTCATTACAATATGTATAATACCTTTTATTATAAATTATAAAGTATGAAATATTCCTGAAGTTCATAGAGCCATGAACTTCACTAACTTAAAAGATTATCTAATTAATATCAGTCTAAAATTGAACAATTTCACTTTTTGTCGTAACACACCTGTCCCTCCTTTTACCCTAGTCAGAAAAGCTCCACCACTAATATATGCATAATTAATTTCCCAGCCCCAAGCTTCAATGTAATTTTCAAATGTCAAAAATAATATCCGCTTAACATTTTAATAGCATCAACTATAAAAAATAATACTCAGTGAAATCTTATTGAAGGCCCATTTATAAATGCTTTAATTTTTATTTCTCAAAAGCTTTTCAATTTCTAGTGTCCTGCTAAAGTTTCCAAAACGTTAATCAATTCATTAGTTAATTACTTGAACCATCTTTTACTGCTATTCTTTTTTGGCATTTAGTAAAGTATACATTTTGCTACTATAATGACAAATAATTTATCTTTTAGCACTTCTTCTGATGATACACATTTAACATGCTCTAGGGCATTATGAAACTCATATTTGAACTTTATAAAGAAAGAAAATTTTTTGTTTACTTTAAAATACAATGATTCCAATTTAGTTATAAAGATTAAAATAATAAGAAGCAATCAGAAAAATGCAAACGAAACATAACAAAATATATCAGGTATAGAAAGGCCATAAATTAAGCTGCTTTGTTGAACAAAAAAATACCATACTTGTTAGCACATTCCCAACACAATTATACTATTGCAAGTTAGCTTTATCTGTAAATACATTACAACACCAGACAATATAACACTTTATTATCAAATCTTGCCAAATTTATTGCTTGTTTTAATAGAAACTTGAGTCAGACATGTCAAAAGAATTAGAACAATACATAGAGGATATTGAATGAGTGTAGGTTTAATACTAAATTTATTAAACAAGTTGAATAAAATCATATTATGCCAGCGTCTGGAGGGCATAGCATTGTTTTATCCAACAAATTCAATTAATTTTTCAATTGTTATTGGATCTATACAAATATAATATTCTATTTATCACATATTTAAAATAGTTCTTATTAAATGGCTTTATTTCACCTCTGCACTGCGGTTTATGTGATAAATGGTGTATATCTTGTCATATTTATAAATTTCATACAATTTATAGATTTCATACAAAATGTCAGCAGTTTTGAACCTGAATTGTTTTGGTGAATTCAATATAAAAAATTATTACAAGTCATAAACATGTGAACAAACAATTTCAAATACTAAATGCAAAGTGAGAAGTGAACAGTAACAAAACTCATGTCATGTCAATTATTTGAGCCGTGTCACAACAAAACCAACATAGTGGGTTTGCTACCAGCATGGATCCAGACCAACCTACGCATCCGCGCAGTCTGATCAGGATCCATGCTGTTCGCTTACCAACCCTATTACATGTAGAGAAACTGATAGCAAACAGCATGGATTCTGATCAGACTGCGCGAATGTGCAGGCTGGTCTGGATCCATGCTTGTCGCAAACGCACTATGTTGGTTGTGTCGTGAAGCGGCTCAAAATTTTGTTTGTTGTCAGTATACAAGATCAGGTAAACAATTTAAGGCTATGTTACGATTATGACGTCCACATAAATGGCTCATTTATTATGTTCTTATGTGTGGAACAAAACACATCACAAAAAGTTGATTTTGTTTAAAGCAGCATGCCTCCAGAAACATGCATACAGTCAAACGTGTATTAAGCGACCGCGCAAGGGAAAGACCCAAAACGGTCGCTTAACGAAACGGTCTCTTAAGACAGTCAGCATGATATAAAAGTCAAAATTTATAAATGACATCTTTCTTATGCGGTAGGAATGTTTTTCAAATTCATTTTTATATAAATGTTGAATAATTAGTACGCTCCGATAATCTAAATGGATGCAAAAGTAATAAATAACTTTCTGATATTTATTGACAAAACGGGGTGCAAAATAGTTTTTATCCATTACGTACATGTTTGACATTTTTACCAGAATTTGTTAACTTCTCCGTTGTTTTTCCTTGTCTCCAACACGAAAACCCTATTAGTGAAGATGTTTTCTGTTGTGCTTTTTTTTCATTTGAAATAAACAAACGTACATCTAATTGTTACGATAAATTTAATTGCTGATCAAGTTCAAGGTCAATTCAATGCAGTCTAAATGTCAACAAGCGAAGCGTATACACCATCTCAGTAGGGGCGGAGCGTTGCATTATTTATCCGATATTATTGGATAATACACGTCACGCGTATACTTAACTTCATTTGCATACGCTAAAACGGTTTGGGAAATAGAGTTTTTCACACGTTTATTTGTTGTGTGTTGATTGTTGACACTTGACATTACAAGGCGGCGTTCTCTAAAAACACAAATACTTGACAGGTAAAAGTGGTCGTTTAATGAAAAGATGTATCTCAATTAGGTGACTAATTAGCGGTCACTGGTCGCGTTGAGCAAAAGTCGCTTAATACATTAAAGATATAGAGAGAAAATGATCGGGGGGAATTTAAAGTGGTCGTTTAAGACAAAAGTCGCTTAATACACGTGGTCGCATGGGCAAGTTAGACTGTATTTTCATCAAAATTCTGAAAATATATTATTAAACTAGAAAAAATAATGTGAACTAACAAGAAAGTAATTTACACATTGCAAAGGACAACTTAAAATCCATATTTATTACAAAATAGAAATGAAAATATGCAAAAATAACCCCACTGTGTTTAGTCACACAGTCGAAATATGGAGATAAATACAGCAAAATCAGTCATTAAATACAGATAACATAATACTTGGTTTTACTTTTCTTAAAATCCTAATACATGTATTTTTCAAGTCTGATTTTCTTTCCATATTTTGGCTCATTTGGAGGCATGCAGCTTTAAATTAAGCATACAACTATGTTTTAATACGGTAATCATGTCTCTTGAAGGTGACGATCAACAACAGTTACAGATTATCAACATTTTAGTCATTTTATGTGTAATTTCACATTTTATATGTTACAAAATGGGAGGAATACAACATTCTTAACAATTCCATCATTAATAAAACAATGACAAAAACAGTATTAATTACCTAACACTTATATAAACATATAAAATCTAATGAAAATGCTACTATGGAAATGGTTTTTGTTGTTTTTTTAAAGACAAATATTCGATGTCAGAGTATCAAATGATTGTTAGTAAAGTAACTTAAATCAACCCGAAATAAATAAATCGAAAAATAACTAATTCAAGGTATCTAAATGTTAAATAATGAATCTTATACAATAAGATATCAATATTACCTACAACTATACACCAAAGAAAATATCCTCCAATTATCAAAAGAAATAAAGTAATACTGAATCTTTTCAATACAATCGTCTTTGAAATTGGAACAAAATCATTTTAGAAATTGGAACAAATTCATGAAAAATTTTCTGAAAGTCATAAAATCTTGTGAACATTTTCTTTCAAGGAAACACTTTTTAACTGACCTGGCTTAAAGTTAATTTAATAAATCAAGTAATGGAAACTGAAATATGACATGGTTTAAAACATAAAACAAAGACAGATCTTTTAACTCTATAATTCTTCCTTCACCGTTGGGGCGTTCATGATAAATTTAAAGAACTCTTCTTCTGTTCTATCACCGCTGTATTCTACGAGGAACTGACCTTTAACGTACAACTTTATTGTCGGGAATCCTTTAATGCCTTCTTTGGAACATAAATCTGAAAATAAAACACATTCACAAGACTAATTCTTCTAAGGTGATGAACTTGATAAACAAGATATACATGTTTCTAAGTTTTTACAATATAAACGGTAGTTCCATTTTGTCATATTTTTTTTTCCTTTACTTGAAAAATAAATGCAACCTTCTCCTTTAAGTGAATCAAACTACTTCAGTGTTATCTTAAAAACAATATTAGAACATTGATGTTTTGAATAGGAAAAGAGACAACAAACTTTAACACCATGTTTTCTAACAATCACTATAATTAGTTTAATTACACCAAACAAATCTTAGAATTTACTATTGCTTAATATCTATATAAATAATAAAACTGAGATTAAACCCTTACAAATCCTGAAACCAAATTTTAAGTTTTTGCCACAACTATAGTTTCACATACATCCATACAATTAATATAACCAGGCTATTGGGATGACATAAAAAAACTAAGTGCAATTCTGATCTCAATGACTAATATATTGTATCAAATGATATATTTCAAAATATACAAAACATTTAAACAAAAGTGATGTCAATGTAACACAGTAAGACAATATATATCTAAGATGGGTCAAAGTCTATAAAATGTCTGAGCGCCCAACAATAATGCGTAATATCTAACACAGGCTGTATATGTTGACTAACAACCTTTAAAATTTGTATCACAATAGCCCTGAGTTTGAGTTTGGTCTCATTCATAATGTAACCTGGCCTAGTCATACTGGGAAATTCAATAAATATGATAAAATGATTTACAAGCCCACACAGTTTATCAATTCATGTTTCGCTTTATTAAGCTTCATCAGTTGATATCAGTAAAGTAAGTTAGATTAACAAGACATGGTAGGTATGCATACTAACCTTTACTTTTAGCAGCAGTACAATCCACGGCAGCTAAAGCTCTACGACTATCCCCTAATTTATCTGCAGCTCCCTGGTAACTTGGCTTGGCCTTCTTGCAATGACCACACCATGGAGCATAGAACATGACGAGGACAGCATCTTTCGAGGCTGTAAATGAGCTAAAGTTATCACCAGTCAGGTGATTTACAGCACTTTTAACCGTGTCCCAGGCTGGCTCTGCCTCAGGGGGTGGTCCTGGCTCTTTAGGACTAAACAAACAAAACAAAATAATTATACAAATGAGCCGTGTCACAACAAAACCAACATAGTGCGTTTGCAACCAGCATGGATCCAGACCAGCCTGCGCATCTGCGCAGTCTGATCAGGATCCATGCTTTTCGCTATCAGTTTCTCTACTTGTAATAGGGTTTGTAAGCGAACAGCATGAATCCTGATCAGACTGCACAGATGTGCAGGCTGGTCTGGATCCATGCTGGTCGCCAACCCATTATATTGGTTTTGTCATGGCACGGCTCAAATGTATATGTATTAACTCCACCTGCACCTATATCATTTAAACAAACCTTCAATTTTCTATAATCACATCATTGTTGTGTTACATTTAATGATTACAGTAAAGTAATGATCCTTGAATACAGAAATATGCAATAAAGAACAAAATGCAGCATTTATTTTTTAATGCAAATGCGTAGTTAAAACCATGTATTGTCGTCATTGCTATAAGTCTGATTATATTGTTAGTTTGGGAAAATCCAATTTAACCCGTTAATATGATACTTCTCCTGATTATGATTTATACTTTGTTGTACAATTGACTGTTTGGTAATACTTTTAGATCATACAATAATTAGGAAATAATTTACAATTAAAAATAACTAAGCATCTAATATAACATGGGGCTGGTAATCTTTGATACCATCATTTTTATTCTTGTTGAATATAAATTTCCTATCTGGCTAAATATTAGTCTTGTGGAAATGATAAAAATTGAATGTGTTGATTTAAAGAACAAACACACAGATAGTGTAGAAGTTGTGAGACTCCAAGATACTTACTTTTTCATAAAGGCAACTAAATTATCTGTAGATCTTCCACTACTATAATCAAAGGCAAATTTACCATTCCTGAAACAAGAACAAAACTTAACTTACTACAAGAAAATTATTTATGTATTTTAATAATGTAATTCACAAAATTCTTCAAAATAAGTGTTAATATTGATAGACCTTCTTATCATTTTCTATAAATTTGCCTATTATGTATGTATAAAAGGGATGCTACCATGAGCAGACACAGCTCTCTGTCTGATTCCTGTCTGTTTTAATGTATAAATCATCTACATGTATAATCATATTTTGAATAAAATATAAAATATATATATCACTAACAAAACTAAATAATTCCTTTTAATATAAAAAGGTGATATATTTTTACAGTCTGACCCACCCTTTGACCAAATTTAAAGATTTAAACTTAATCTTTTGAAATTGAAATCCATACATTTCGAGAAATAGATGGTCTGTCAGTATTTAATTGTCATATTTGTGGCTCCTTTACAATTTGATTGGAAAAGGATTACATTTGGTGCCTATCCAGCACAAGTGGACACCTGAGTAGAACCATTGATCTTATATAAGCTAGAGGGATAGCTTTCTTACATGAAAGAATCCAGAGTTTCTTGCCAGATTCAAACCCATAGTGGTTCAATGCCAGAGGACATAGAGTCCATTGATCAACTGATATTTCAAATCAAATTTACTTAAAAAAACCCTCAAAAATATAAATAATCAGTTGTATGTCAAAATTGTCACACAACTATATAAACAGGAAAAAAAGATAATATACTTACTTGAAATATTTAACTGTAAAATAGAGTAACAAAATAAAAGTTTACATTAAATACATTAAAATGTGTTGCATAATTATATCAACACTTATTTGATTTATGAACAAAATTCCCAACATTATCAAATAACTATAACAAACTCAATGCTCAACTTTTATCAATTACAGGTGGCAATAAAATTGATTACAAAGTTAAACTAGAACTATCACTAAATGTGATTAATACCTCCACAAGACTGCTTCGGAAATGAGGATGTTACTAGTAACAGAATACCTTGTAAAAGAATTGAAATATACAGTTATGGTTGTGGGCAATTAAAGATAGTTGTGGTTCTTGTATGTTGCATTTCCTTTCAATGTGGTTGGCCATTGATGAAGTTTTATTGAATTACTCTGTAATAAGTCCAGAAAGACAAAGGAAAGGAACAAAGGGCAATAACTCTATAAATACTGAAGATGGAGTTATAGTTCTTGTGCACTGCACTTCCTCTTATTGTGCTTGACCATTGTATGAAGTTGTGTTGAATTCAAACCAGTATGTTTTAAGTTATGCTCCAGACAAGGAAAAGTATCAAAGGGCAGTAACGCTGTATTTTGTCAAAATGGAGTTATGGCTCTTGTGCACTGCACTTCCCTTTAATGTCCTTGACAACTGTATGAAGTTGTATTTAATTCCAAACAGTAGTTTTCAAGTTATGCTCTGGACAAGGAAAAGTAACAAAGGGCAATAACTCTGTAATTAGTCAAGATGGAGTTATGGTTCTTGTGCACTGCACTTCCTCTCAATGTGCTTGACCATTGTATGAAGTTACATTGAATTCCAACCATTAGTCTTCAAGTTATGCTCTGGACAAAAAAGCAATGAAAAAGTAACAAAGGGCAATAACTCTGTAATAAGTCAAGATCGAGTTATGGTTCTTGTGCATTGCACTTCCCCTTATTGTGCTTGACCATTGTATGAAGTTGTTTTGAATTCCAACCAGTAGTTTTCAAGTCATGCTCTGGACAAGGAAAAGTAACAAAGGGCAGTAACTCTGTAATAAGTCAAGATGGAGTTATGGTTCTTGTGCACTGCACTTCCTCTCAATGTGCTTGACCATTGTATGAAGTAATAATGAATTCCATCAATTAGTCTTCAGGTTATGGTCCAGACAAAAGAAAGCAATAAAAAAGTAACAAAGGGCAGTAACTCTGTAATTACTTTTGATAGAGTTATGGTTCTTGTGCACTTCACTTCCCCATTTTGTGTTTGACAATTGTATGAAGTTGTTTTGAATTCCAACCAGTAGTTTTCAAGTTATGCCTTGGACAAGGAAAAGTAACAAAGGGCAATAACTCTGTAATTAGTCAAGATAGAGTTATTGTTCTTGTGCACCGCAGTGGAAAAGTAACAAAGGGTAATAACTCTGTAATTACTTTAGATAGAGTTATGGTTCTTGTGCACTGCACTTCCCATTATTATGTTTGACAATTGTATGAAGTTGTTTTGAATTCCAACCAGTTGTTTTCAAGTTATGCCGCGGACAAGGAAAAGTAACAAAGGGCAATAACTCTGTAATTAGTCAAGATAGAGTTATGGTTCTTGAGCACTGCACTTCCTCTCAATGTGCTTGACCATTGTATGTAGTTATATTGAATTCCAACCATTAGTCTTCAAGTTATGCTCCGGACAAGGAAAATGCAACGGACGTCTGGACCTGGACCGACCGACCACCGGATGACCCCAAACTTTGTTTTTGGGGGTATAAATATCTTCTTGAAGTTTTTTGTTGAGTTTGAGTCACATGAGTGACTGAGTGGCTATTTGAGTCACATGGCTGTATAAAGGCATGTCACAGCTTTCTATATCTATGGGGGGGGGGGGGAGAATAACCCTTGGATAGTGAGCCAGACACCAATACCACTGCTCCTCTTAGATCATAGTTCAATAACCTATGTTTTTTGTGTGTGTTTTACGTCACACCAACACATTTTTAGTCATATAACAATGCCAGCTTTACTGGTGCAGGAAGACCTCGGATGCCCTTCTATGCATTGTTTGAAGCACAAACAGGCAGCTTAGTGGAACCACCTATGTTCTGTAAGCTAGCTGGATTGTTTCCTATCATGAAATACTCCTAAGTACAATATGACATTCAAACCTACAGCAGGGAGGGAAATGTGGTTTGAAAACAATGACCGTAACCACTTGGCCTCAGGTACGGACCCTGTTCAATAATCAAGTCTGACTTCTATAATAATAAATATAAGAATAATATGAGCCGCATCATGACAAAACCAACATAATGGGTTTGCGACCACCATGGATCCAGACCAGCCTAGCCTGCGCATCCACGCAGTCTGATCAGGATCCATGCTGTTCGCTATCAGTTTCTCTACTTGTTATAGGGTTTGTAAGCGAACAGCATGAATCCTGATCAGACTGGTCTGGATCCATGCTGGTCGCAAATCCATTATGTTGGTTTTGCCATGATGCGGCTCCTATGTATTTTTTTACACATAAAGTTAAGACAACTTACGTGTAGGATAACCTCTCACTTCATATTTACTAGCTAATGCATTATCTATAGTTGCATCAACAGCTGCTAAAATTCCTGCATGCTGTAAAATATAAAATATCAAGTCAACAATTATATAAAATATCACACCCACAATTATATAAAATAACACGCCCTCCCACAATTATATAAAATATCACACCCACAATTATATAAAGTATCACACCCGCAATTATAGATTATTTATGTCTTAAAAAAGCTTATAAAAATTTTCTATTTGACTCCATCTGTAATTTCTGTTTTTCTTTAACCTTTCACCTTGTCCTGCTGAATTGCTCCAGCTTCTATTTTGGAACAACCCATTATTAGTTTTAGGGATATCATGACAAAGAATTAGAAATTGGTCATCTAATAGTAGAGCCTGTTTGGACAGCATAGATATGTAGGCCTAGTTCTATATTGGTGGTTCAACTGATCACTCTGGTTTCCAGCATGTAAAGGTTTAAGACACACTGATATTGTACAGGTCATATGGACACATTCTGGTGGAGGGTAGAAAACATTTGTACCTTAATGCAATATTTCAAGCACTATTGGGCAAAAATGTTAACTAGAATACATGAAATATAAAGTTTTACAGGAATTTAAATATTTGTTTGTTTGTTTGATTGGGGTTTACATCACACCGACATTGTACTGGTGGAGGAAGACCTCCGAGGTGCCCTTCTGTGCATTACTTCAGGCACCATGGGCACCTGCTTAGAACCATCAATGTTTCAAAAGCAAGCTGAATAGCTTCCTCAGATAAAAAAAATCCAAAGACCAAAGGTGAGAGGCAAGTGGATTGAAGTCAATGATCTTAAACGCACAACCGAAGATGCCCCTAGAATCTAAATATAAAATATTCTGTTATACCCTCTGTAATAAAGTATTTATATACAATATAAAACTTACATTTTCTTGTTTAAGTAAAGTAGCAGCTTCACCATAGGCAGGCTTCATTGCTTTACAATGACCACACCCTGATAAACAAAATAATACAGTTATTCTATAAAACTCCTTGTTTAAAAATGAGTTATTCTTTAACACACCTTGTTTTAAAATAAGCAACAATCATAATATAAACACACATTCAAAACAGAAATTTTCTCTAAAGAACAGTTTATAGTTTTCAATATGACTAAAACCTAACAGCAAAATAATACTTTTAGTTATTGCAATTTTTAATTAATTAATAAAGTAATTATCTTTATTCTTTACTATAAGCAATGGTTAAACCATGTATACATATATTCATAACATTTTGTATTTTGCAATGGGCAATTGCATACAAGAACAACCAAGCATAAATAATATAACATTATATAACATAGCTTCTTTATAAAGAGGTAAGCCTTTACCACAAGTATAGAGCCTGGCAAGCGTGCAAACCTGTATAGTACGCCCAGGCTCTATACTGTTATAAGCTAATATTTTTAAATTTGATATTGAAATCACTTGAACTTTGAACAGACCGTCTCAAATTCAAGTCATGGCAGATACATTACTTCAGTAGATTTAAGGTTAATAACATATAATTTATGTCAAACTACACTTACATGGTGCGTAAAACATGACAAGAACTGAGTTATGTTCTTTTATAAAGTTCTCAAAATTTTCTCCCGATGGAAAGGCCACATTTTGGAAACCAGTCACGTCACTCCAGTGTTCCTCTGGGGAAGGTGATGGAGGCTTGCTGGGTTCCGGCTCTGTATTGAGGGGATCCTTCATAAACTTTATAAAGTCTGGTTCCTGGCATAATAAAACAAAACATTTGATACATTTATATATGTCAGAAACTGTTTCTTGATCATCGCAGTATAGATCCAAGCAAATCCTTTATTAATTCAAATTAATTCAAATTTAATGTGAACATTTAAGATTCAATAAGTTTACAATTAGGGTAACATTATGTCTTTTCAAGTTATGAAAGTATGTAATTGTCCCAATTGTGCATGACTTACAACAACACTTGCTGGCATCATCTAACTTTACAGTTACTGTATGTTGCTGGAAAAATGTTATACATGCTATAAGGAGACCCTTTTTACTGTGTTACACTTATCAGTCGGAGTAAAAGAAAATTAAGTTGGTCTCTTAGCCTTAAAGGATAATCATTCAGTTGCCTATTTACTGTGAATTCACTTAATTTTATGTACATGAAATTTCAATATCATACTTTTGTCACAAAGGACACTTTTTATGGGACTTGTGGGGTCTTAAATTTGTGGATTGCAAATTTGTGCAAAAAAAATGGTAAAATGCAAATAATGTAATGTAAAGTTATATTATCTTACAGCAGAAAAAATTAACTTGTGTAGAATAGAATAACATTATTTTTGAGAAAATAATTTTCAATTTTGCAATAACTCTCACATTTTCATCAATATAATCTTATCCAGGTTGGTTTACTAACACCACATCTTTCTAATTCATTTTCAACACACAATCTTTCAAAACCTATTCTCATTTCCAACTTCTTTTTCCATAAGGACTATGACCTTATATAGACTAAAGAAGGGACTTTATACAAATCTGTTTAAGTGAACACACTTACCTCCCTTCCTCCCATATATTTCTGTGCATTTTTCCCATAATTGAAATATTTAAATGTAGGATATCCACTAACATCATGAGCTGTACATGAAGTCCTGTGTATTGTACAATCCATGGCTGCAAACATTACCTGAAATAATCATAGCAATAACTGTCAACAAACAATTCTGACAGAAATTCTACGTTAAAAAGGGACATTATTGAAAAATTAAAGCTTTTGGAATTATGCACCTTATCTTACAACTGCACCTTGTCATGATAAGCAAGTATTTCAAGTTTAGGATGATAACTTTTTAAATGTTAGTATGATGAGCAACATCGAAGTTTTTGCATGACAATGATGATGCAGCTATCATTTTTGCTGGACGTTCTCTTCAAAACAGTTCTTTTCAGAACAGACAAGCTGTGATGGCAACGATAATATTTGGTTTAAACAAAATCATGTATGAAAGTTTGCTTTAATAATAAATGTCTTCAAGGACAGGTTTGTATTTGGAAGGATGTCAAATTAATGCACTAAGGACACTGACCTTTGTGTCATCTTTAAACTGAGCTGCTGCGGACATATATTCTGGTTTAGCTTTCTTACAATGACCACACCCTGTAATACAATATATAAAATTATGTAGGTATGTTTATGGTGTACAAGTTAATATTTTGTTTATTTTCAAGCTATTGCCATATTCTCCATTAAAAAGCATTTGTATCAGGGGGAGATTAGTAATATAAGACATATTGCTGTCCACCAAATTGTCAGATAAAATTTATAAAATTAAATGGAAAATCATATACATAAAAATTACTAAAAATGTTTTACAAAATCATGCGTATATTATAATACAGTTTGTTTGTTTCGTTTTAAATGCAGATATTGACACATTTTTCTATATCTTGGCAATTGGTACACCTAACTGGCTCTACTGGATAACAAACCAGTAAACTACCAGTTTCTCTGCAAGTAACCGTCTATTTAACCAACATCCTATCTGAATCATAGGAGAGGAACAAATGATAATTAGCCACAATGTCCAAGATAAACTTTCAATATGAAACTTTGCCTCACCTGGGGAAATAACCAGAGATCCGTTGATTACAAATCCTATGCTCTCCCTATTAAGCTAACTGGGTGGACAGGTTGTTACTAAATCATTATTGTAATATTCACTATAAACATCGACTTACATGGAGCGTAAAACATAACTAGAGCATGTTTCTTCTTTTTCAGTACAGGTTTAAAATCATCATCTGTCAGATGTACAACATCACTCTCAGTCTCCTCCCACGACTTTTCTGGCTCCGGGGGCGGTGGGGGCTCTTTTGGACTGAAATATTTACAGAAAATTATGTTTCCTGTAACCTTATCAACGACAGATGTAGTCTAATTTCTGTACATCACAGTGGAAATAATATGTATTCTTGCATATCAGACTGTGTTTTTCCGTTTGTTTTTAATGTTGGAAATTTCATCTGGCATGTGGGTGCCAGATGAGTCACGTGTTGTACAATGGCATGCTTAGTATGACGTAATATTACGATTATGAATGAAGTTGTAATTTCATATGCTCTTCTTGTAAGAAAATAGTTACAAGTGTAATGACATAAATTTACATGGAAAATTGCTTTATTTAAAATGTGATGGAATAAGGTAAAATATGCAAGAGAAAATATCTAACATGTTTGCGGTTCGGTTCGGATCGAGGGACAGATATTCCGATCTGAACCACAAACATGTGTCAGATATTATTAGTCTTGTATCAAAAGTATGCTGTAAAAGATATTATTATCGGTTGTTTGTGAAGAAATAATTTTGAATTTTTACATTACATACAGGATTTTTTTTAGAAATACTACTTACTCTCTCATAAAATCAACAATTTTATCTGCCGTTCTTTCATTAAAATCAAACTCTTCTACACCATTTCTGAAAACAACAAAAAATATACAGCCATATTCATATATTCTTATTGCTTCCAAAATTGATTCATGGATCTACACATTTAAATAACCATAATTATGTCAACTGCAAATATTTGTAACATTAGCACACTGTGTTATGGTACTAAATTTTTTGGTCCAAATTAATTCAAACTATTTGCAAAAGTCACTAAAATATGGACCAGAACATTTGACCTCTACATGTGACAACAACCTGAATGTTGCTATCTGCACATGCAATAGACATTTACTATCATTTCACACATGAAATTGGAAATTCATCATTTCATTCAACTGACACAAGCAAAGTTTAATCTAAAAGTCCATAAAAATGCAATGTAGTCTAAATAAAGGTCAATCTAAGAATTTACTTTGCAAAGTCTGGACTGCATTTGATTGAAAATGTATTTTCATATATATAAATAATGCAAGTTTTTATAAATAATGTTCATACTTACTTAAAGTATTTCACTGAAAAGAAACAAGAATCAAACAGTTATGACATACATGCACAATAATATATTATGGAATATGTTAATAAACAACAGGTGATATAAAATTGTAACAAAAACAAGTTTTAAGGCAATAATACAAGTGAAATATAAACAATAAAGTGACATAACTCATTACACTTGTGTATAAATTACAAGGATAGGCCTAATGTTCTTTGGGGGAAAAATGATCTCAAAAGGTATTGGGTGTCTGTATTTTCACTTCTTTTTATCTATATAATCTAATGCAATTAAATTTATTTATAATCATATTAGTAGGTCAAATTTTTGTTGTTGTTGGGTTTTACGCGGCACCAACACAGTATAGGTCATATGGTGACTTTCCAGCTTTATTGGTGGAAGACTGCAGGTGTCCCTCTGTGCATTATTTCAGGCAAAACTGGCACCCGAGTAGAACCACCGATGTTCCGTAAGCTAGCTGGATAGCTTTCTCACATGAAAGAATCCATCTTTCTCACATGAAAGAATCCATCTTTCTCACATGAAAGAATCCATCTTTCTCACATGAAAGAATCCATCTTTCTCACATGAAAGAATCCGTCAACACTGGTATGATGAGACACAAGTGGTTTGAAGTCAATGACCTTAACCACTCAGCCATGGACGCCCCTCAATATTCCTCAATATTAAATTAACTTTTCATATTTTCTAGAAACAATGGACTTATTAAAAATAAAAAGAATTAAGTTTTATTTAGTCAACTGAATTACTACTGTATAATGAGGAAAGAATTACCTGTTGGGAATCCCTTTATACTAAATTGATCTCCTAATTTTTTATCTATTGTAACATCTACAGCTGCCAACTGTCCTTCAATCTAAAACAAAATATATTGGTATAATATTACATGTTCTTTATCTAGAAACACTAGAGAGGTGACATTTTATTCATGATAAAGTGCTAAAACTAAAACTATGGAAAATGAAATACATTAGTTAATTGTTTAGCTCCTAATTGAATTGGATTTTTGCAAGTTATTGTAAATTTAGTGTTTTATTATTAATTTATTTGCAGGGAAATAAATAGACAGAGATAATTACTAAGGTCTATGGGAAATCTTGAAAGAAATAGTATTTTGGTTTGCATGTGTTTATTGTGTCAGTGGTGTTTCAGGCTGTGCAGTTGACTTTACCAAAATCTATATAGACCAAATGAAACACATCAGATTTGACACCAAATTTATGTATCCTGTAACTTCACTGATTCTTTTATGTGAACTATTTCTCTTGAATTTTCAATAACTTAAAGGCTATGTCTTCAATCTAACCATAACTTACATTTTCTGCTTTCATAGTTTGTGCGGCCTCCTGGTATTCAGGTTTCATCTTTTTACAGTGACCACACCCTGTAAGTAACCATAGCAACATTGTATGACAAATACAAGAAATAATGATATACACATTATAGTCTTAGTATTCTTCATTTGTTTCAACAGCTTTTAAAATCTATCATGGCAAAAAAACTATACACAAAATTCATTAATATAATCAAACTAAGTTATAACTGTACTTATTTATCTATTTTTGGTTGGGCTACGGCGACATCAACACACTAAAGGTCATATGGCAACTTTCCAGCTTTACTGGTGGAGGATGACCTCACATACCCTTCCATGCATTATTTCAGGCTCTAACGGGCACCTAAGCTAGCTGGATAGCTTCCTCACATTAAAGGATCCAAAGTTCTGGATCAAAAGTTCTTATCAGGATTCAAGCACACAATGGTGAGAGGCATATGGCTCGAAGTCAACAACCTTTACCACTTGGCCACTGACGCCCCTACTATATTATCTAACCCTAAGGTAAAATACCATAAAACTATGACTAGACAAAATGAATGAACTCACATGGGGCATAAAACATGACAAGTACGGAACCATGAGTTGACATAAAATCCTCCCATGTGTTGTCATGGAGATAAGCTACTTCCGGTGCCTCGTCCTCCCATTGTGTCTCCGGTTTAGGCTCTTCCGGCTCACTGGGACTGAAAACACAGTTACCTCCCTTTATATCATACACAGTTACCTCACCTTATATTAATACACAGTTACCTCCCCTAATATTATACACAGTTATGTCCCAATATATTATAAACAGTTACTTCCCCTTATATTATAAACAATTCAATTACCTACCTTTTCTATTCATAAATCACAGTATGTGTGAACTTTTTATTTTAGTTTAAAATAAACAACAATGAAAATATTTGATAATTTCCTTTTTAAATGAGTGACGTTACGTTTTATTTAACAGAACATAGACCTGAAAGAAAAAGAAGTATGCAAGTTCAACAGCCAACTCAGAACTGTATACAACTGAATTTAGAACAGTCTGCTGGAAGTTTACAGGATTCCAGTAAATAAAATACAAGAGTGGGACAGCCAACAGTATAGAGCCTGGTCAGGCTTCCTGGTAGTGTAGGCTAGTCTGGCTCTATACCGGTGGCAAAAGCTAGTCACTTCAGGTACCTGCTGGGTAGAATATTTCCAATTAGCATATAAACTACTTACTTTTTAAGCCATTTTATAAGACCTTCTTTATTATTTTCTCCACCATATTTGTATTTTAATTTTCCACCTCTGAAAGTATGAAATACAAATCACATATATAAAATATTAAAGATGATTTATCATCACATAAACCATGGCGCGTGTAATAAAGGTGAAGCCCCCAACAACTCCTGGATTTTCATCCTTTTAGATAATCTAGAATTCATTTACTTTTTTTAGTGCTTTGTAAAACATTTTCATTACCTAATATCACTTTTGCTAATCAGTTAACATTTTGTTTTTCTTTCTTCAACTTCAGAAAGATTGGTCAGTATATGTAACAGTATCCTTCATTGACTAACTTTAATAGCAACTATAACTGAACATATAAAAAAAGGCAGTACGGTCTAAATATTTACAATCAGATAATAGACAGTAGCAAGCTCAGAGATAGAGATTTACATCATTCACAAAAGTGGTCCTGACGACCTTAAAACCTGTGGGTTTCTACAGAAAATTGTCATCCCTGTAAGACCCAACAATCTTCAAAAAGAATGTAACATTTCCAGTTTTATTTAAACTAATAGCAATCTAAACCCAATAGAACATGTGATTCACAGCAAATCTGACAACAGGCACCAATTTGCAATACAGGGATATACAATTGCAGTTATATTTTGGAGTTCAGTCTGAAGTAAGACTGACAAATAAATGCGATAAGGCTACATTCCAGCTTTATTAACAAGGAAGGCATCTATGAACATTATTTTTCATCCACCTGTGAGCAACCAAGTAGAGCCACTGACCTTAATCTAGCTAGTTAGTTTTATTGTAGTGACTTGAACAATCTTACTCAAAATAGTAGAGTGTAGGAAATCCTGTAATGTTATATTGTGCTCTTAGGGCCATCTGTTGTGGTTTATCTACGTCAATTCCTGCCATTATCTGAAATATTTCAATGACAATCTTGTTTACTACACATACACTGTCACATTGACTGCTGTACAGTCCAGTAAAACTGACCATTCTGTACAAAATGCCGTTTTAGAAAAATAATAAAAAACGTCTATCAAATGATGTTAAATTTTTTCTTGCATGCCAATAAAACTAACTACTTGACTGAAAGAACATGGTATGAAAATATCAGAAATTTGTATTTCTAAATGAGAAAATTGACAAGATGTGACAGTGGCATGGATTTATGACTGGATACCCATCTTTCCAAAAAAATACAGGGGATTAATTTCTTATAGAATGATTGGAAAATTATTTGTATTTGTATATACTTCAGTTACTATAGTTACTGTGAGAGAAATATAATTATTCTTTTACTATAGTTACTGTAAAAGAATTATAATAATTCTGTTACTATAGTTACTGTGAGAGAAACATATAAGTAGAAGCACAAACCACTTGTCCTTTCAGTTCTGTAGCTGCAGCAGCAAAATCTGGCTTCAACCTCTTACAGAATCCACACCCTGTTATATAGTACAGAAATATGAGCTGCGTCACGACAAAATCAACATTATACCCTCCCCCCTACATCACCAGTGGAGGCATAAATAAGGGGATGGGAGGAGCAAAAAGTAGTAGGGATTGGACAAATTAAGAAAGGGCCAGAAAGACTTCATAGGGGCAAAATCAGGTTGAGAGATGGTGACGGAGTTGGAGGAGACCACTGACCAGGTTGCTAGGAAAGAGATGGAGGGATGGGCAGAAATGAGGAACAGAGGGACAAAACAAGGTTTGGAAGGGAGATTTTCTATCACTTACAAATATGAACTTACCTTTTGATTTCTGACAGGTCTTAATCAAACTAGAACTATCACTAAATGTGATTAATACCCCCGCAAGACTGCTTCAGAAATGAGGATGTTACTAGTAACAGAATACCTTGTAAAAGAATTGAAATAGAGTTATGGTTGTGGGCAATTAAAAATAGTTGTGGATCTTGTATGTTGCATTTCCTTCTAATGTTGTTGACCATTGATGAAGTTTTATTGAATTACTCTGTAATAAGTCCAGAAAGATAAGGAAAAGGAACAAAGGGCAATAAGCCAATTACTCCATAAATACTGAAGATGGAGTTATGGTTATTGTACACTGCACTTCCTCTCATTGCGCTTGACCATTGTATGAAGTTGCATTGAATTCCATCTACTAGTTTTCAAGTTATGCACTGGTCAAAAAAAGTAACAAAGTGTAATAACTGTTATTAGCCCAAATAAAGTTATGGTTCTTGTGCACTTCACTTCATCTCACTGCCCTTGACCATTGTATAAAGTTATATTGAATTCCAAACATTAATTTTCAAGTTATGCACTGGACAATAAAAGTAACAAAGGGCAAAAACTTTTAAATGAGTCAAAAAAGAGTTATGGTTTCTATGCACTGTGCTTCCTTTCAATATACTTGACCATTGTATGAAATAGTATTGAATTCCAACTAGTAGTTTTCAAGTTATGCTCTGGACAAGAAAAAAGCAATGGAAAAGTAGCAAAGGGCAATAACTCTATATCCTATGGATAGAGTTATAGTTCTTGTGCACTGCACTTCCTCTTATTGTGCTTGACCATTGTATGAAGTTGTTTTGAATTCCAACCAGTACGCTTTAAGTTATGCTCCGAACAAAGAAAAGTATCAAAGGGCAATAACTCTGTAATTTGTCAAAATGGAGTTATGGTTCTTGTGCACTGCACTTCCTCTTAATGTGCTTGACAACTATATTTGTTGTATTGAATTCCAACCAGCATTCTCAAGTTAAGCTCTGGACAAAAAAAGCAATGGAAGAGTAACAAAGTGCAATAACTCTGTAATTAGTCAAGATGAAGTTATGGTTCTTGTGCACTGCACTTCCCTTTTTTGTGCTTGACCATTGCATGAAGTTGTTTTGAATTCCAACCAGTAGTTTTCAAGTTATGCTCCGGACAAGGAAAAGTAACAAAGGGCAATAACTCTGTAATTAGTAAAGATGGAGTAATGGTTCTTGTGCACTGCACTTCCTCTCAATGTGCTTGACCATTGTATGAAGTTATATTGAATTCCAACCATTAGTCTTTAAGTTATGCTCCGGACAAGGAAAATGCAACGGACCGCTGGACCGACTGACTGACCGACCACTGGGTGACTTCTATATACCCCCCAAACTTCGTGTCTGGGGTATAATAAACACCAAATATTTATAAAGTTTCACATTTAAAGATGTTCACTAAGTGTAAATTTCTTCTTATTCTTTTTTCATCTTTCTAAATAAGAAGCCTAAATAGATGATAATAATCTGGAGTTTTTGTAGTACATGATCTTTTTTAACAGATTTTTAGACAAAGGAAACAAATTATATTCATAAAAAATATTGTAAAAAGTTTCAATAACATATAAAACATGGCTAACAGACTTACATGGTGCATAAAACATGGCTAGAATTGGATATTTTCCTTTCTTAAGAAGCTTGTTGAACCCCTGAAAATCAAGAAAAACATTTTAGTAGCGCACATTAGAGGTAAAAAAAGATACCTAAATTCTAATGAAAAAATTTTTTTAATCAGATTAAACATAAAAGCTTAGCCTACCACTGAGATTTGATAAAAAAAAATTATTCTGATATACAGCTATGTTACATCCATCTTTATAGGAATTATCAGGTATATTTGTCTGGGTTTAAATTTTCATGTACAGGTGCTTTACACACTGCCTGTTCAACACTATACAGTCTAACAAACAACTTTTTAGCAGTCATTCACGACAATTAATTCTACCTGATATATAAAAGTTTTATTCATACGTTGTCATGGCCACTATATAATTAGAGGTCACATGACGTACCTGTTCACTCTCTACATGTACAACGTCCTCGGCCCCGGCCTCCTCGTCCCACGGTATATCTCCTGTAGGGTCATACATAAAGTTCACCAACGACTGTAAATAAAGAAGTAATACAAAATCATTTCTTAAAATACTTGGCTATAATATTGACCCTTCTGTAAGACACACTTCACATCTTAAGCATAGTGGCAGAGAAAACTTAAAAAATTAAACATTTTACTAATTTAGTGTAAACTTTGTTCTCATCTTGTGCTTAGGTAGATCAAAACAAGTCATACATTATGGCTGATTAAATAACATATTTAATCTTTGCAACTAATCGGGCACCTTGTTACCAACTGAATGTGACTGTTACATGTATGTATACTATCTTGTCTTAAAATATTATAACAACCATATAAGAAGAGCTTTTCTTGACACACTGGAGAAGGGGTCTTTCTTTTTTTTTACCTAGGGTGCAAAAATAACATGGTAGTTTTGCAAAAGGGAAAAAAACAAACTTAAATATACAATGTAAATAATTATTGCTGCTCTTTATAAGGACCTGTACTTATGAATAAACCAATGGTGATTTTGGTACATCAGTTCCAGTATAACACAAAAATTCCAGAAATCTGGAAATAATGTTGTTAATGAGTAAAGTCAGGAGTTAACCTTTACATATTAGAAGAATACATTACCTTTTTAACCATTTTTCTGTCATAATTTTTGTTAAAGTCTCCATCCCTGGAAAAAAATAAACACATTGAAAATATTAAACAGTATATTCTTTCTATGTAAACATCATAAATATTTTAAATAATACAAATAGCAAAATCATTACAGAGACCAAATTCAAGCAAAGAAAAGACTGCATTAAGCTGTTTCCAATAGGGAGGTTTTTTAAATAGCGAGTATATAAGTTATTTGAAACACAGTGGTCTTGTGAAACATCATTCAGTTATTTATATAGCATTTTTCTCTTATCTCTATAACCTTGTACAAATCCTCTCAGGTAAAATTAAATTACTTTGTGGACGACACTTTAGATAAACCTGCACTGATGTCCCAACACAATGAAAATTGTCAAATGCTCTTTTCACATCGATATGAATAATGGCTGTCTTGAAAGGGAAAATTCCAATTTAGAATGTGAAATTTCAGAGCATTACAAAATTTTAGAAATATTTAAAATCTTTCCTTTGATGTCTGTATTAGAGATTACTTTTATCACTAGTTTTTACTATGATGGTTATATTTCAGTATTAATTGTTAACATTTTTATGCATCTATGTACCCTCATCATGCTTAATATCCAAAATGGACTTATCCATTTTTCAATCTGGACAAAACCATTCATCATTTTTAGGAATAATTCATAATTATAATAAATTCACTTACGTAAATGCATTCGATATCAAATGTACCAGCTGATATTGGTCAGCACTGGTTGCATGGGTAAATTCAATTGTGATCAACAGGTTTAAAGTTTAATAGAAAATAAGTTTACGGAAAGACAAAATTTTTTTAATGTTACTGGAAAAATAATTACGAATCTTACTTGTAATGTCTCAGCTCCAAGGGTGACGGAGAAACTTTCAAATTTTTGCATAGTTTTTTTGCCTCACTGAAATATACCAAATGAAGTGTGCCAATTATAAAACAAATGGTCTACTTCTATGTACAAATTGAAGGGCAATAACTCTACAAAAAGTAAATGTTTATAGGTAAGACAGTTGATATAGATATATTAAACAAACAACAATAAATTTCTATAACATGTTGGTTTGGGAAAAGCACCACCTGTGAAGACAACATTGTAAAACATCAAAGCATGATGTACATTGTATAATGATAACTTAATAATTTATAAACTTGTTTATATATTGCTTGAAAATTGGAACTTAAATGAACAAGAGGGCCATGATGGCCCTGAAGTCGCTCACCTGTATATAGGCCCACAGAGCTGGGCCAGTTTAAACCCCAGGGCTTTTATTTGAACAAAATTGGTAGACACCCATTAGAAGATGTTTCATGCTAAACATCTAAGGTCTAGCTCGTTGAGTTTTTAAAAAAAAGATTTTTTAAGTTTTTACTATAAACATATAGTTAAAAGCAATGACATCCCTAGGGCAGGGCCAGTTTTGACCCCAGGGCTTTTATTTGAACAAACTTTGAAGACACTAACTAGAAGATGTTTCATGCTTAATATCTAAACTCTAGCTATTTGTTTTTATTCAAAGAAGATTTTTAAGTTTTTGCTATACACATATATAAGGAAAATAAATGTCCCCTGGTGCAGGGCCAATTTTGACCCCAGGGCTTTTATTTGAACAAACTTTTAAGACACTAATTGGAAGATGTTTCATGCTTAATATCTAAACTCTAGCTATTTGGGTTTTTTCAAAAAAGATTTTTTTAAAAGTTTTTGCAATATGCATAATAGGGAAAATCAATGACCCCCCGGGGCGGGGCCAATTTTGACCCCAGGGCTTTTATTTGAACAAAATTGATAGACACTCATTAGAAGATGTTTCATGCTAAATATCTTAGCTCTACCTCTTTTGGTTCTTTAAAAGAAGATTTTTTAAGTTTTTACTATATGCATTATAGGGAGAATCAATGACCCCCTGGGGCGGGGCCAATTTTGACCCCAGGGCTTTTTTTTGAACAAACTTTGTAGACACCCATTAGAAGATGTTTCATGCTAAATATCTTAGCTCTAGCTCTTAGGGTTTTCTAAAAGAAGATTTTTTAAGTTTTTACAATATGCATATAGGGAAAATCAAAGACCCCCTGGGGCTTGGCCAATTTTGACCCAAGGGCTTTTATTTGAACAAACTTGATAGACACTCACTAGAAAATGTTTCATGCCAAATATCTAAGCTCTACCTCTTTGGGTTTTTTAAAAGAAGGTATTTTAAGTTTTTTCTATCGGTTGCCATGGCCACCAGAGTTCTGCATGGAATTAAATTCTTTGAACAATTTTTTAAGGTGACCACCAAAGGAACATTCCTGTGAAGTTTGGATGAAATTGGCTCAGCGGTTTATGAGGAGATGTCATTAAAAGTAAAAGTTTACGGACGACGGACGGAGGATGGACGGACGGACGCCGGACGAAAAGCTATCACAAAAGCCCACCCTGTCACTTTGTGACAGGTGAGCTAAAAACAGAATGTGCTTGTGAATATAGTTTTATTTTAGAAAGAAACTGTTAAAACATGCTCAGAATAGTTTCATTTTTATTTTCATGCTATCAATAAGCTGTGCAATACAGTCCAACATACCTGCAATCTACAAAGGCCACGGTTCCTTTTCCTTTAATTTCCTCAGCAAGGTCCTCCAATAATGACATCTGCTTTGATGCTGCATTGTCTGTAAAATATATATATCATAACTATATGCTTCCTCATTTACCATTTTTTGTAAACTTCAAACTTCGCTTGCTTGAACTTTAATTGTTTGAATACCTCCCTTCACTCAAACTCATCGCCCAGTCCTAGCAAAATTACTATAAAATATATATTTGTCTACCTTGGATCACTCGAACACCGATTGCTTGACCTCTCAAACCTTATCCCTGGTCCCTTTGTCAAAAATACAGTGAAGCATTAAAAGACAACAGAAGTTTTTTAATTTGTAATGATGTTGGTCACAAACTATACAAAGCTTATGTTATACTATTATATACAGGTATATATATATTTCAACAATAAATATTGACTTGACTTGATCATATGAAGCAGTCAAGTTATAAACTAGAGCTGCTACAGGTGTGACAAACACCCATGACTAAATTTTCAGTATTTACAACTATTTATGCATATAATTTTGACTTCTTTTTGTAAATTTACATGGAGCCTCCAGAATCATGCTATTTTTTGGAAAATTTTGAAAATGTATTTAAAAGAATAATATTGTGAAGTAATTAAAAGGAAGCAATTAACACATTATCAATAACACTTACATCCCATGTAAATTACCAAAGAGAGGTCAAAATATGCAAAATTAGTTATAAATACTGAAAAATTAGTCATTGATTGCAGTATAAGATGTCAATTATTACTTAAATCTTGAATGTTTTTACTTTTTCCATAATCTTAGTACATTTTTTTCCTGATGTGATTTTATTGACCTACTTTGGCTCATCTATAGGCATGCAGCTTTAATAGTATAATAGTATATTTTGCCAGTTGTAACTTTACACTCTTTAAAAAAAACACTTTAAACTTAAAGGAGACATGGTTGAGAAAACAAATAAAAAGTTGTTAAACATTTACAACCTTAAATCTATGCTACATCACCATGATCATAATGGACTGGTGTTAAGTTTCAACATGTTTGTATAAAAAAAATCCAAACTTTCGAAAGAGATCAATATATCAAATACCCGACCGTGCATATATTTTGACGTGACGTCATTTGCATTATAATATAAACATAGCGCTAAGACACGCTAACTGTTAACGTTATACTATAGGCGCGTCAATGAAAAATGTTTCTTCATCACTTCAAACTGTCTTTTTTGGTATGTGATAAATAGAATATTAAATTCATGTAAGTTCATTACTAAATTTATTGAATAAAATAATATGTTCACCAGAGGCTCACATAAAATAATTCAACTTGTTCAATAAATTCAGTAATAAACTTACTCATTCAATATCCTCTATTTACTGAAGCTCAATGATGTAAAAATTTAGGGAACTATTTAATTTTTACTTAAATAATTAACTGTGGGGGCCCCTGAGATACATGTATGATACTAGAAAATCTGTCTTATTTATTAATGTAATTTTCAAGATTAATGTAATTTTCCATGCAATTGCATGGATAAACAGGGTCTGTTATAGTGAATGGTATAACAGTCAGTAAAACAAACAGCCCTCTTTTGGATTAACACTGTCACAGGTTGCAACCTTTACCTAACAGACTGTCAATGAGTTTACTATTCTACACAGTAACAGCTGTTTAAAATACTACTATGACGGCTTCATATTCAAACATAATTATGTCAGATTTCAATATTTTCAGTTTAAATATATTTAGCACTGTTTTAATCAGAGCTGTCATTGATTCAGTGCAAATCAAATCAACTATATATCGATATCAGACGGCAAATATTGACAATACACCAATATATTGAAAATTACTTACTTTAAGTATTAATTACGTGTAATTCTTTTTATTCTATGTGTATGAATGCTTTTCATACATGTGTCTTTTGTTTTTGTTTATAAATGCCCATTGCCCATTTCTTGTCATCATTGATATAAAATATGCTTCTGCATATGTTTTGGGTGAATTTTCATAATTCTACATTCAATTATTAAGTCAAAATTATTGATTTTCCATGTGTATTGATTATTGATTGATTGAAAAATATCAATGGTACATGAATATCATTTCTATCGATGACAGCTCTAGTTTTAATCAGATATTCATTTTATCAAAACACAGAAGCAGAAAGTGCACGTTTTGGCATTTTTTAACAACAATGTGACATGTCCAAAACTTGTGCCTAAATTTTCAAATCATTTCATCACCCCATTTATCCACAATAATCATATTTATTCTGTAAAATGACAAAAAATGAAGTGTTTCAATGTATTTTACTCTAATCAAGCAAAAAATTGTGAGTATATTTCTTTAATATACTTTGCAGATATTTCCATTTTAGATGCTTCACTTTATCTATGCAAGAATTTCAAACTTTATGTTACATTTTATCATACATGACTTGTATATGTTAAAAAAATGCAAAAGAAGTTACCTGACTTAGCAAAGGCTACTAAAAGATTGGTTTTTGTCCTCAAGGTTTTCTTGAACTCCTTCAAGTCATCTAGCTCAAGGATGAGTGACTTCCCTTTCTTTGCCCCAGAGGGAATAAAGAGCTGAAAAAATGACATGTCATCATCTATACTCATTTATAATATTACACTTCTCCAGGTTACATATAAGCTATGAGTAGCTTTTTAGAAATTATTACCCAGACAAACAAAATAGAAAGTTTATGAAAAATAAAATGAAAACATTTCTGTGAATAATGGACCTATAACCAAAGTAATACTACAAAAAATTCTGTTTAAATTTGACTTTCCTATTAAACTGACTGTAACTGTATCATCATCCAGATATCCCTGGCGAATATCGCACGACCACTGCTGCCATATGAGCTAATATCAAATTTCGCCTGAATTAGGGTTCTGATTTTATTCAAATATGAATACCTTATTTAGCTGCAAAGTTTTATCTCATCTAGTAAGCATATGAATTTGAAAGCTAGTTTTACAAAGTGCAACATAAACTCGTCCATTTTATATCGTTTATGATTGTCAGAAGGTCAATATTGACCATTGTTTGTCTTTGCAGTAACGATAACGTTTTTTACATTTTTAATAAAATAATAATATCTAAACAACAAAGCAAAACAAACAACACAACTTTATATAAATTTCAGTTTAAGTCTGAAATGGGATTTTTTTATAGATGTATTTTTTTCTCTACAAAAGACTTTTTTTCGTCTTCAACTGTAAACAAAACAGGAAATTGAGTAAGACAATGTCAGTATGTTTCGCACGCACATAAGAATATAATTTTTTCTTGTTCTATTTTTATGAACAGAGTAAGTTTTATCAATCTGAATGCAAAAATAAACTTTTACTATGTTGCTATATTGCAGAACTAGAAATCAATCTGTGTTACACCAAGGACATGCTTGTTACTGCAATGACTAATGAATGTTACTGAAAGGACTTATAACTGTAAATTTACATTTATTTTGTATCATTGAACTTACAATTAAATGTTAACAACATACAGAAATGAAAATAAGCTTTGAATTATTCTTAAATAGATCTTGAATTTGAATAGCAAAAGTAAGGGAAGCTCTCTTTTAAAGTTACAGGACGGACATATTTGTTACTGAAATGACAAAAAATTTTAAAATGGGGTAAAGTTACAAGGTAACCAAGCAATGTTGTGAGTTCGCATTATTCAGTCTAAACTCGTCCCAGTCAATTTTATAAACAAGTTCATAGAGAATACCATCAGAAGTTTTGAAGATTGATATTACATGCTATATTTTTAATCAGGAGTTTTCTAAGTTAAATAAATAAAATTAAATGTAAAGTTCTTGACCTTTTAGAATGCATAATTTTAATCCTCCTGAATGACTGTAAATAAATTTCCAGAGATTCTTTCTTGTGACAAAGCCATCATTTAGCTTACAAATTGTCAGTGGCCCTTCTGTCTGAAATAACCTGGGGTCTTTTTCAACCATTCAAGCTTGAAATTTGCCACCTGACCTTAAGAGTTTTGGTGCAGCATTTTAAGCAAACAAAACAAAATAGAAACTAACTGTGTTCACAAAGTACGATAATGCCAGGAATGAATTTTACATGAGGCCAAAATAGGACTAGGAAAGTAAACAAACAGTCATGTTCTAAGTTTCACGGGACTACTTTTTAATGACTAATTTTAGTAGTTTTGAAGACAACAATTTTCTTTTGTAAAAATGCCTTAAAGGCTTGCTTGTGAATGATATAAGTTAGGTTTTATTTCTATTTTGCAAAGTAAACTGTTATTCTATGCAAAAAAATAAGTCTCTGTAGAGATAAGTACTAAGAACTTTCCTTCAATATACTGGTACTGCCTTATTACTTTTATTTCTAAAATCGCTACAGTTATTTTGTGAAATGACATGCATTTCAATTACAACAAGATGTATATTGTCCTTACAGTAACTTAATGTTGAGGATTCTAAAGGGTGCAAGATTATTCAGATTTTCCTCAATTTTACAAAAGCATGTACTGTAAAAGCAAAAAATAGCCCAATTGAATATATATACTGAAACAAAAAGGAAACTTTCTTCAAGGTTGAATGTAGATATGTTAGTACAGTACATTGATTTTGAATTAAAAAGTCCTTTCAATAACACAGGTTGTCCTTCGAATAACAAAATAACATAAGGAGAAGTTTTAAATGGCATAAATGTCTAATTATAGAATAAATATATTAATAATAAATAGATTATGCCAACAAGAAAATTGTTTATCGTATCTTTATCCATAATTATATGTTAAAGAAGATATGTGTTGTATTTTGTACTTTCAGTAACAGATTTTGTACTTGCAGTAACATTATTGTAAGGACAGTTACTGCAAGGACTTTATTCAGGTTATTTTACAGTCTGTTTACACAGATAAGATAAGGGAGACAATTTTGATAATTTAATTCATGACTGAAACATATTTGCTAATAGCAGCAATACAAAAGGGAATCTTTCTCATAACTTAAATAATAAGAATCTCGTTACTTAAAGGACACTGTTCGAAATCATGGTTCCAACCTTTAATCAATGTCTTTCAATTTTCTAAATCCTATTTAAAATGCCCATATGTTTTGTTGCTGTAAGCCATGTATTATACCTATCACCTTCTTTTGAAGAGCACACTGGAACAATTTACTTAAACTAAAATAATCTACTTATATTACTGTTACTTGAAGGACATTTTGTCAAACAGGTTGGGGACAAAATTATAACTTGCATTTTGCAAATTGAAAATACTTAACTGAGGCTTTTACTGTATAAATACATTATATAAAGGTTATATTTGCGTTAGTTGACAAAAAATATGTATTTTAGTAATACAAATTTACAGGATAAACAGCTGAAATTGGGATTTTGACTTAAGGACAGGGGATAATCAGTTTTAATTTAGGTTTATGACACTACCAGAAAAAAATATGTTGAATATCTTATCCTGTAAATGTCTTAGTTAACAATATTTTATGTACTTACAAGCATGCAAATTTATTTTTTATAAAATTATCATGCATTTTGTGAAAAATTGAAAAGGACAAGATTACAGGCGAAATCTGATATTGGCTCATATATGATGACATTTAAATGACAATTTTCATTTCAGTTAATGTCAGTATATTCATTTGGCATTAATCTTTCACCAGATATTTAATTCCTTTCAAATCATTACTGATTAAATTGTTTAATGCATTAGTTGTAAATTGACGTCTAATGCCAATTTGTATGCTATACAATTTTACATTAATAACTTGTTAAACCTAACATAACATGGAAAATGTAAAATATCAGATTCATGAAGGATATAAACATAAAATAAGTGTTATATAAGGTCTTACAACTAGAACCATTCACTGAAGACCTTAAGCTAGCGACCATGTAGTCCTAACTATGGTACCTATTTATAGATATACTGTGACATAAAGTGAATGCTGAAGACAGACTCATAGGGAAAGTCCACTAAAAATTGTGCCAGGAATCTGACATGCTCGTATTCATTCGTCCAGCATACCATGTAGTAAAGCATAGCATACCCCGATAAAACTGTGTATAACTTGTTGATAAACTAAGTATCAACATATAAAAAAATTATTACCAACATAAAGTACCTAATATTCAGTATGCCCACTCAATTTCAAACGCAGGGGTTAAGGCCCCACGGTTACACATTTAAACGGATTTGTTTCGATTTACATTCGTAAATGTTTATGATACTTTTTACCGTTTAAACAAAATGAACAAATTGTCTTACGAAATATTTTAATCATTGCCAGTTATCATGGATTTGATCAATTCTAATTGGTTTATTCCGAAGTTAAAAACGGAAAATGGGTGTTTACAACCATCCACACATCATTACTGTGCAAAAATTGCTCGTTACATAATAGATTTTTGGTAAAATTGATTTTCATTTGATCTTTCAAAAGAGCGAAACGGGGATACAGTGCCGAAACAAACGTGATGAGCCCTGAACATTAATTATTAGTACATGTATCAAAATAGAAAGAAAGTCATCATTTGGCGACTTGAATACACAGGGTAGTACAGTACATAGAAGTACCACCGTTTAAACGGTATCGTTTCGGTTCTTAGCAATCGTGTAAACATTTACAAAATATTGTAAACGTGGGAGCCTTAGTAAGGGTACATGTACCCACTGTCATTGAAAATTGGGAGGTACATTTCAAAATCTGGGGGTACACAGAAGTTTAAACATGTGTTTGTTTGCAAGAACATTTTAGTCAGCATGATATTACTGAACAGGGTTTTCACTTAGTATAATGTATTACTATCCACTAAAACTAATTGAAGTTAATTGTTCAAAATCATTTGTGAACTAATGATACTTTTTGACAATTGTAAATATCCAAAATATTTTTTTTCTTAAAACAGTACATGTGACATCAAGACATGGCAAAAATAGTTACAAATATATCAGACTGAGATGTCTTTTTGAAAGCAGACATGCAATTGAGACTAGGTTAAGACAGTTCCAAACAATTGGTAGATGGCAAAGACATTTAGCTGATATGCATATTAGGCTATCCAAACATTCATTCAGACAATTTTACTTTGCATGCATGTAACCCCTGCTTAAAATTTTCATGTGTGCATGTAGAATTTTGTGTGTGAATTACGCACTGTATTGCCTGAATAGGCATGCTGTAGTTTCCAATAGGTAAAAAAATTCAGTACTTTGCCTCCATCTCCCCAAAATGTTTGACCATGTGATTATGTTATTTATCTTTATGGGGATAATCTGCAGGATGGTTTAGAAAACAGTAACATGTGCTGCCTTCTAACTTTTTCAAATAACTGTCAACTTCTACATTTATTTGCTATACAATCGGTTGTTAGAAGAGAATTTTAAATTTCCTAAGATTATGCCTGTAGCTAGTAATGAAAAGCAGATCTCCATTTAATATTAGCGAGCAGGCCCAAAGCAAGCATTACAGTATCTCAAGTATCCCCGGAAGTTATGGTTTTGAAAATTTTTGCCGGAAGTAGAGCAAAATTATGGTTAATAAGTTTGCCTGCTCTTCATTGGAGGCGATTTTGTTTCCCTGTCTAATTATATTTGGAGCATGCCAGGAATCAGTTCCAGCAGGTTACCTGCACTATCAATCACTAAAGCATGCCGGGAAAACAGTTTTCAGGTTTTCTTTCTCATTATGGTTCCCATTCAAATTGACATTTCAGAATCTATTGCCAATTACCATTTAACCAAATTCGAAGTTTCAGGAACTTGAGTTGCTCTTAAGAGAGCTCACATCGTTAGATTAAATAATCCGAGAGTACGCAAGATTTTGACTGATTCAAGTATTCAGCACATTTAATGATAAGCATCATGTGCATTAAATAAAGAAATAAAAGAAATAAACGCCACAGCAACATCAACTGCCAGTAGGTTACCATTTTGCTATATATATCATTTTCCCCGAAATAAAACTATTAATTCCGAAAGTGGATTCCAAGTGAATTGATGTCTTCCCTGCCAGGTGGTTTCAACTTAGATGTCATATAAAAATTAAGTGGCCGTATTTCGTTAGAAAAAAGGGAACTATAATGAATTTTGTTACCCATCTACTTCTTCTTCTTCTTCCAATATAATTATATACTGGCCACCTTCAACTAACTGAAGTTTATCTAGCTCATATATGGCACAAAAACAGCCTTATTCATATTAGCATCTATCATCGAAACATGTTGTGCATTATTCGTAATCAACTGTCATTTTCCAGGTTTCATTTTGAAAATAAGGTCCTTTACATGGATATGAGCATACAAATTACAATTGTAAAAATTCTTAGTGAACATCCGTCATACCCCACCCACTTGCAAACAATTTAAAGAGGCTATTTCCGCATCATTAAGAATGCAATAACATGTTAACTGAATTAAAACGAATGCAAACAATTAATCGGTACCATACAAACTATAATTCATTAATGACAATACTTACTATCACTAAAATTGGTACAAAAATTAATGCCTTTAGCCGGTGCATCCTGAAATTCTGCCACGTACATGTAAACTGGTTGCTACAAAAATGACAATTCCGGTACACGTTTTTAAACGAAATATGACTTACCTCCCCTTGACCGTAATTGTCGTAAGGTTATTCTTTATTTGGATTAATTATCGTCATTATATAATATCAGGTCTTTGATTTATTTCTTGCATAATCAATTTAAGCATTTGTTATTCTTTATTTGGATTAATTATCGTCATTATATACAGTAATATCAGGTCTTTGATTTATATCTAAGCATTTATTGTGTCTGTCATAATATAGATTTAACGTACATTGGAATGGTCCTACTTAACACAGCAAAGTCAGAGACATAGATATCTATGTCTCTGGCAAAGTCAAGCAAAGTAGTTTATAGTTCTATCATTATTTAATATGATTTTAACATTCAGGAAAGAGATATGTTCTTTGAACGTTTATTTAATGCAAAAATGTTAATTCCTATTGAAAATTATTCTTATTTTAATAACGGGAGTTTGTTGAATTTAGCGTACAGTCAAGAAAAGTCTAGCAAAGTCCTTTATTTTTTAAAAATTTCTTTCATTATTTATTAATTAGTTATCATGATATAGAAATATGCATGTTCTTTACAAGGAAGTAGAGTTTACAAGTGCGCTTCAAAGTTTTACATACCGATACATTGTATAAGCCTGGGCTTATATTGGTGGGACCAATATTATAGAAAAATTCCGACTCTCTAAATTCAATAAAATATGCATTATGTCTGCTAATATTACTACAGTAATATTCTAATGTCTATTCAAGAATGTTGATGCGAAAATTGGGCATTAAGAGTGCAATTACCTGACCTCATATACCAGCTACAATCATTTGCAGAGTAAGAAACAGAATATCCAAACTTCGGCATTTTGCTGCTGAAATATTGTATATCATGTTAAAAAAAAAAAAATTTAAAACACCCAAGCATTAAATGAATTAAATCATATCATGTACATATCTGTCCGGACAAATGGTACTGTATAGTGGACAATTTAGTAATTTTTTGATAAATCCTCCTTGAGAAGCCTCAATATAATCAGAAAATAGTCAAACTAGTTTTGTTAGTTTGTAGAAGAACCTAGCTGTACTGTGTCAAATTTTAGGTCTCCAGGTTGAATTATGGAAATATGTATGGAAATGTTCAAAAGGTGTCCGGTTGATGGTCCTAGACCAGTAGTGTTGAAAGACAATAAAAGTCGTGAAACTCAGTAACTTTCTGAATGGATGCAAGACACCGAGACGATTTTAGAAACTTCTTAAATCCTTGTGTTTTGGATATATATGACTTAAGGCCTAAACAGACGGTAGGATTTTGAAGTACAACACCAATTAAAACTAAGATGTACAGACAAATCTTAATGTGTGAAGGCTACTATTTCTTGATTTCGGAAACCTTAAGTCTAGATCAGGGTCTTTCAAATAGAAAGATTTTTAAATAACATCATGTCGTTAAAAAAAAATTTTCATTTTTGGCTCTTGTATTTAATATTCGCCATTTTCTTTAACACTTAAATAATTTGCGTATAGCAAACTATACCGAGTTATACCGAGACATGTTTAATTGTAGCAAAAAGGGTTTACATAGTGTGTTTCCAGACCATGCTATTTGAAAGACCCTGCATGTCTAGATGTAAGGGATAGGACATGTTCTATTTTGAAAATCTTGTCGTATATATTTTTACAGACCTCCCACAATGACAAGTAACAGATAACCAAATTATCTCCTGATAATGGGTTTAATGAATGAAATTCCAGAACAATTAGGGCTAAAAGGTAAACATAGTAGTAAGATGGGGTAAAAATGATGTTGAAAAACTCTTCAGGAGACTGAAAGTTGCGTTATGTTCGAATTCCGAAAGTAGTCACGGTATTGAATTGTTCTCTAATTAGGGGAGGGTGGTTTAGTTTGTAGGCGGCCGGATTAGCTTATTTCATAGAGTCACAGTACGGTGGTCCCAGGGTACCAGGTTTGATCTCCGGTCAGGCTTCAACATTTAAAATATATATATAGTATATATATTTAAATTGAGGTTTTCAATCAATTACTCATGGCGAAGAAAGTATTAGTGGGAGTAAAGTATGTAAAGGGATCAATGGTAAAGGGATCATTTTAGTGGAAACCTCAAGATGAATTCTAACAGTGTAGAATTACCGTCCTGAATGCAAGTGTTGTATAGCTTTGAAAAACTGCTACATCTTATCTCTAATGTAGTGCTGTAACAACTAAATCCTACCGTCCTGTTTGAGGCCCTTAGATGAATTTCCTCCTCCAAAATTGAAGTGCTTGTAAATTTAATATTCCATATTGTTTTGTTTTTTGATAACTAACCGTTTTATCGAATAAATAAACACAAGTACTTCAACACCGTATTACCGTGCGGCAGTGATGGGCAGATCACTTGCCAGTGATGGCAGATATCTGAAAATTACCGATCGATACATGTTAGGTTATAAATTTTGGTTGGTTTAATTATATTACACAAATACGCGCCCCATTTTCATTGCTATAAAAACTATTGTCCATTGAATGGAGAATCACGTAAGGTAATTTTGGACTCGTTTTTCCTGTTTTAAGACTATTTCAGCAGGTTTTAAAAGTGACCAGCCTCGGAAAAAAATCCCGTTTAAAATGTCTGTTTTCTGTTCAAAATATCTCAAGTTTAAAGTAAATGCGCAGATGTCCCTGTTATCAAACTAGACGTTCATCCATTTGGGTCACGCAAGCCAAATATCTCCCCCGGAGTCTTTTCTTAAAATTTTCCCCAGACGCTAAATTTGGGCCCGGGTTTAAGAAAAAATCCCTGCCTTGTGGGGCAGATAATTTTTAAATGCCCCCGTCGATGGCAGAAATCCCAAAATGAAAGTGGTTTAACCCATTTTTGACAGAAAATCAAGTTCAATCTTTATAAATCCTCTTTTTTGCGCCCTTTTAGTGGAATTGAGACGAAAAAAACCAAATCATTTCTAAAAAATTTTTTCCAAAAATAAAAAAAGTTTTTAAATTTGGGGAAAATGTGCATGGGAATAAAAAGTTTTTTGGAAACCAGCATTTTTCCCAATCCCAAACAGTGTTTGTTTTATTCCCACAAAATTGCACTATAAATAGAGAAATGAAACATGAAAAACTTCATTTTTCTATATTCATGCATGTGTTGTTGGGATCTGCTGTGTCTGTCAGTTTACATGCATACAAACTATATGCATCTTAAGTTTTAAGCAGCGCACTCCCTTTTTAAGACATAACGCCAATTGCATATTACAGCAAGTAACTTCTGGTAAGTGGATATTCACTTGCTAGCATATGACAGTTATTTTCTCGAGGTAATTAATGTTCATCGCTTTATGACAAAAATAAAGGCTGAAATTTACTTAATCGCGGCAGATTAATAAGTTATTAAATTGAATGTAATAAAGGGGAGACTATTAACCTCGCAAACTGGCATCAGTGTATCATAAAAACCCAATGTATTTAATGTAAAATGGAAAGAAATATTATTGACAGTTCAAATATTTTCCTATATTATCAAAGTTCTTGAAAAACACGACAACGTGGATTCATTTCTTTAAACTTTTAAATGTTTGTAATAGCGGCTATTGTAGTTTGGCCCTTTGAATTACATTTAACTATGCTAAACTATTAACAACAGTTCTAACATCACGTACTCCCATTTAACTATACATTTTTTTCATTCATTTTAGTTGTATCCATGACAACTTATAAAGATGAACTTTGAATGATTCATATCACAAGATGAAAATAAATCCTGTTTTTATAGGAAAAAACTAGAATATTTGGTTTGTTATATACTTTTTCTCTAGTTTTTGACCTTTTCGAATTCATAAGACTTCTCTTTAATTTTGTATATTGCCTGAATTAAGAATAAAAGTAGTCCGGCAAAAACACCATTCAAAATACGGAAATATGTTTCGCTGCAGTGAAAAATAAATCTTACAGTGAGGCAATGGCTCCAATACTGGTACATCTTGTGCAAATTCAAATGTTTCCTCGCTGGAATGGTTTTCTTAGATGTCTTTTTCAGTAAGACTTTTGGTCTTGTAAACCTCTGCCAAAATGTCACAGTCAAATAATCTCACTATTTAACAGTCTCCTTTTAAAGATTCATCAAGAAAACGAGCCATCTAATGGAGCCATTGCCTCGTCTTAATCATCGAAAGGTTCATCTTTATAAGTTGTCATGGTTACAAACTAAAATGAATGAAAAAATATATAGTTAAATGGAAGCACGGGTGTTAGAAACCCGTTGTTTTAAAAGTTTTAGCATAAGTAAATGTAAATTTAAAAGGAAACTACAACGCCCTTTTCAAAAATAAAATTTAAAAGGGAAATGAATCCACGGGTTGGGGGTGGGTTTTTAAAAACTTTATAATATAGGAAAATTTTTAAAAGGGCAATTTAAAATTAAACTTTTCCCTTTTTACATTTAAAATACATTGTTTTTTGATAACTGATGCCAGTTGCGAGGTTAATAAATCTCCCCTTTTTTCATCAAAATTTTAAAAAACCCTTATAACTGCGCCGAAAAAGTAAATTTTTGCCTTTTTTTTCATAAAGCATGAAAATTAAATTTCCCCGGAAAATAATGCATGTGCTAGCAAAAGAAAAATCCCCTTAAGAAGTTACTTGCTGTAAAATGAATTGGGTTATGTCTTAAAAAGGGGGTGCGCTGCTAAACCCTAAGATGCATATAGTAATCGTAATGCATGTAACGACAGACACAACAGATCAAGCACAACATGCAGAAATAGAAAAATGAAAAGTTTTTCATGTTCATTTCTCTATTTATAGTGCAATTTGTCGTACTAAATCATCACTGTTGTATTGTAACTGGCATGTTGCTTAAAAACGGTTTTTTTCGATGCACATACCGCATTAATAACTTTTCTATCTTGAGGAAAATATTAGAAATGATAGTTTTTTACACGTCCTCAATTCCGACTAAAAGGACGCAAAAAAAGAGGAATTTGATAAAAAGATTGAACTTGATTTTCTGTCAGAATGTTAGCCACTTTCATTGGTATTTCTGCCATCGACGGCAGCATTTATAATATTAATC